TATTATCTTTCTTTTTTTTTATCTTTCTTTTTTTTTCCCTTTTCCAATCCATTTTCCTTTTTTTTTTTTTTTGTTTTTTGGTTACACATTGATGTTACTGACACAACTGTATTCTCCCTGGGAAAATCTGAGAATCCTTTTGATGACATGATGTACAGAGAGCAAATAGAATTGTCATTGTGCACTGATGGTGCCCACACTTTCTGAAGATGTTTGAAATCCTTTGTACCTTTATCCTACACCCTAAGCTGATAGGGCACAATCTCCCTCAAAGCTGAGCTTTGAAAAGTCAGAGGTTTTGGGCTGGGGGGAGCCAAAGTGAGATCCCCTGTCTGCAGAAACCTTTTCTGCCTCCATCTCCCTGTAGAGAGTTCATTAATGTTGCATTTTCTGAAGAGTGGAGCAGAAAAAGCTCTCCCCAGTTTGTATTTAATGTTCCTCTATGCATAGCTTTGGCTTTTCTGTTCACCACAAGTATAAGGCTGCCCCTCACACACTGACTCTTCATTAAGCTCAGTGATTAAATGTTCTCCCAGAAGAATCTTCCCCAGGGATCAGATGATGGCAACATGGCTGATCTCCCAGAGATCATATCACCCTGGGGCAAGGGGAGAGGAATTTTTACCAGTCAGCCATTCTAGGACAAAGACATTGCTCTCCAAGGCTCTTCATGGTGATATTCTTCACAGCCAGGTTGGACAGGGCTTGGAGCAACCTGCTTTAGGGGAAGGTGTCCCTGTCCATGGCAGGGGATTGGAATGAGATGATTTTAAGGTCTCATTCCAGCCCAAACCATTCTGTGTTTTAGTCATGAGGAGCTGATTGTAGTGGTGTATCCTTGGAGTGAGACTGGCAGTATGGCAGAATGTATTTTTCCCTGTCTCCAAAATTCCATGAAAACTTTTCAAGATACAAAGTGAAATCTGAAAGTCAATGCCAGTGAGCCCCGAATGATGAACAACTTATTAAAAAGCACTGAGCCATGCTGTGATAAAAGCTCTCCTCCCTCACCCCTGTAATATACACAAAAAGCAAGAGATATTGTCCTGTATTCAATAAAAATCAGCACCAGAGTCTTTATTTCTTCCAGACACAATCTATGAACTCTGATTTCTGTTTTAGTCTGGTCAGCACCTCTGGCATTTAAGGCTGGAGCTGTGAACAGAATGAAGAGCATAATTTTCCCCTGCTAAATGATATTTTTTTAAAAAAAAGCTTCAGAAAAGAGAAACTGAGTTAGATTGTGTCACTTACAAAGACAAACTGGGTTTCTTTGCAGATGCAAACAGGTTTATACCAGTTGTGCAGCTCAGATTCATCAAGGCTAAGAAATGCTCTACAGATTTGTGTTTTCTTTCATCTCAAAAGCTTGTAGACTTGTGCTGACGTGTTTTCCTAGATCAGCCTCCTGAAGGGTGCTCACTTCTTTGGGCAAGAGGATGAACCAATCTGGCTGCCTTGCTGTGGCATCACTGGTGACCAGCTTTAAAATCCCTGTACCATTTGCTTGCTCTGGTCTGGCCCAAGCCAGGAGGAAGGAGAGGGATTAAGAGTCCAGTTCTGAGTCAGAAAGCACCAACCACAACATCAGGTGTTTTCCTGAACTGATCACAAAAAATGACATTTCATGCTTGTGTTGATGCTAAAGAGAAATTAATCTTATTCCAATTGCCGGTCTGAAGGAAAACAAAAAAATGATTTATTGCAGTAATGTGAAACTTTGTAAGAATTCATGCTCTGTGTGGGAGCTGTACTAATAATGCTGTTGGCAGTCGTCGCTGCTTTCCAGTTGGACAGGAGAACTAAAACATTGAAAATGTCAGGTGCCACAGATTTCGTTACAGCTCCCCGTGGCACTGCTGAGGTCAGCCCCAGCTAATGGAGTTTGTTGCTGTTTGGGTATTTTTTAAATTCAGCAGGCAATGCTTCACCTCCTGCAGTGTGCACGGAGCAGACCCCAAGGATAACAATGTCAGGAGCTCTCTGGGAGCTGCCAAGGGCTGTGACAAGCTTGTTGCTGCTGCTGACAACCAGCGAGAAGCTGTGTTTTAATGGCTGAATGTTGGCATGTTTTGCTAATATATGTCTTGGAATGGAGGCTTAATATAGCTCATGAGCTACCTGCTGCTGCTGAGTGAAGGGAAAGGTGAAGCACTGTTGACTGTTGGAAACTCTGGGGTTTGAGGCTCTGGTCTATGAGATTTCATTGCGGCCCTTGGGTGAATCCCCGAAGTTCCTGTGCCTGAAATCCATCCCTAAAACAAGAGCTCCATTGCAGTGACAAAGGGATGGAGTGGGCTGGGTTGTTGGAAGTGTCCTAATGCTGTTAAATCTTGGCTACTACATCTCCAAGCATCTCCAATATGTTTGTGAAATTCTGGGGTGCTGGCGAGATCTAAATCTACCCTCCCTCAGCTAAAAGCCTTTCCCCCTTGTCCTCTTACTCCAGGGTCTTGTAAAAACTGGAGTTTTTACCCTCTCCAGCTCTCTTGAAGCCTCTTAAAGTACTGAAAGGGGTTCTAAGCTCTCCCTGGAGCTTTCTTTTCTCCCGGCTGCACAACCCCAGGCAAAACATCATCCCAGGTGTGGCTGCAGCACCCACACATGCCCTTATACACTCACTACAAATGTTTGGCCTTTCTCCTTGTCCTTCTTGAAACTCCTGGCTGGCTTGGCTGGTTTGTATCACCAGTGATATGGTGTTTAACTAACTTTGCTGCTTCTCTACTTAGATGTTAGGAAGAAATTCTCTGAGGGTGGGCAGGCCCTGGATGCCCAGAGCAGCTGTGGCTGCCCCATCCCTGGAAGTGCCCAAGGCCAGGTTGGACAGGGCTTGGAGCAGCCTGGGACAGTGGAAGGTGTCCCTATCCATGGCAGGGGATTGGAACAAGATGAGATTTTAGGTTCCTTCCAACACAAACCATCCTGTGATTCCATGGCTCTGTGATCCTTTCCCACTGGCATTTGGCTGAGTGAGCCCAGGATGGGGCTGGCAGCCCGTGGATGCTGGGCTGGCTGCTCTGGGCTCCCCTGGCATGGTTTGTGTTCCCAGAAAACAACCCCAGCAGCTTGGATTGGCCACCCTGCAGCACTCAGGCCATGCCTGTGCCTGTGCTTCTGGAGAGGTTTTGCACTTGAGTGCCCAAAATCACTTCAGGTTCTGCTTTGTGCTTCCCAGCCCACAGGAGGCCTGGAATAATAACTGTGATGTGCTGCCTTATTGCTTAAATGCCCTCATGAATATACTCCAGTCTGATCTACTGTTCAAACAAATTCAATAAGGCAGACCAGGATTTAAAGATATTTTAAATAAATTAACTTCTGCATGGATGTTTATTAAGTTTTATGAAGCCACTTACTAAAACATAACATTTTTTTCCGAAAGGTGCCTGAAATTTTCCCCTCGTGAACTATGGAAATTGCTTTTATAATTGAAATGAGAAATAAGGGCCAAGCTGAAAGCATTCCTCGTGGCTCGAGGCACAGTCCTCGTGCCTTTCTAAAGAAAAAAAAGAATTATTTGGCTCTCTACATCTTCTGTTTTCCTTCACATCTGCGGGGCAGGACGTGGTGCAGGATTGCGTGACACCAGGTGGGAGGGAGGCTTGGGAAGCTCAGCTTCCCAGGATTTGGCTTTTTCAAGGAGTCAGCCCTGAGCTAGACAAGTCATGAGCAATGTTTTTCACTCCAGCTTGAACACGGGCTGGATTTCTGCACAAACCATGGAGGCTCCACTGGGAGCGCCGTGCCCAGCACAGAAATCTCCTGCAGCCTGGAAACAAGGATGCTGCCACGTGCTGTGGATTTCCACTGCTGGAGACATGAGCTGTGAGCTGAAAATGCACCTTTGAGCAGAGCAGGGCTGAATACCAAATCAAAGGATCCATAAAATAAATGATTTTCATTCTTTAGTGCTTGATGCTATAGGGACAATAGAGGCTCCTGCTCTTCTCATCTGGAAGCAGCACCAAAAAACCTTTGGGGACCATTTGAGCTGTTTTTAGAAGATAGATTTTCCAGGCATGGATGATTCCAAATATTTAAATTTTATTCTCTTGCTGCTTTCCAAGCCACCTTCCCTTCTATCAGAAATCAAAACAAAAGGCTTGAATGGTTAAAAACTATGAAGATTTTATGGCTCAGATCAGCTATTGCACAACAGAACATTAACCAGGAGCTGCAGGGAGGATGAAGGTGACTGATTTTTGCTCATTTAATGTAAGGACACCTTAATATTGTGGGCAATACCCAAGCATTCTGTCCCCACAAAATTACATTTGTGTTAGAAAAATAAATGCCAGGGAGGATCATGCTAAAGATAAGAGGATAAGAGGGGAAATCTCACTGTTAAAAGACAATAAACCTGCTTCTTTTTCATCATTCTTTGGGGTGAGGCTGACTCCTTTGCTGTGCCCCTACAGCTCCCAGTGCCATAAAGCCCCAACCTGCTCAGTTTTCTGGGCAAAGCTGCTGCAGAACTGTGGCCAAGATACAACATCTGCGACATCTGGCCTGGCACAGGGAAGAGCAAGCAGGGAGGACAGGCAGGGCAGGAGCCCAGACCCCTGCAGTGCCCCTGGGGCTCAGCACTTGGAGCTGCTCAGTCTGGGAGCTCAGCTCTCCTTCCCTTCAGGCTCCTGCCCTCCACGTGCCCCAAGTCCTGGGTGCTCTCAATTGCTCTGCCCAGCACAGATCTGGTGCTTTTAACAGATCCCAGGAAGGATTTTCAGGGCAAACATCACTGATGGGAGTGTCCTTCAAAGCCAACTAGCCCCCCTGTTTGTCTGCTGAGCTGAAGTCAGGAGCAGCAGCTGATGTTTGGAGGAAGTTTGTGCTGCAGAGTGCAGGGACTGAGCACTCAGGGCCCTTCTGCAGAGGAACAGCAAGTCCCAGTTCAAGGCAAATGGAATCCCACCAGTTTAGACCCCAGCCAGGGTGCCTGATAACCAGGCTGTGTGATAAAGGCACACCTGCCACTCCAAGCAAAAGCAGCCCAAGCCTTAAATTTAGATATTTATTTCTTAGGATCAATAAATGACAAAATAAAATACCATACAGTACAAAGGCTATATCAGGAATTAACCATTTCAGTACACTTTGATCAGTAAATACAGTATCAATAATAGCATGTTACACTGAAAGAGTGTTTCCCATTGCCATACAGGAGGATTCCACACCCTCTTCTTTCCCTTTGTCACAGAAAATATCACAAAATAGACACTGACACACTTTTAACATTCATTTTTTCCCCATTGAGCAACAGGCCACAAAAAATAAAGCACATCAACATTTTGTATCTCAGAATAAAGTAAAAATAAAAAGGTGCACTTCAAAAATATTTGCCATAAATACAATATGTGCAGGACTATCAGGTGGCACAGCTGGGGAAGGACTCTGGATCACAAAGCCAGGACACAGCATCATGAAATTTTGGATCAGCAATTTCTACTTTTGTACTAAGCAAATCCAGTCTGAGAGCAGGAGGAGTGGTTGAGCTGTGATGTGAAGAACCAGACAGAGCTCCAGCAGACACAGCTTTGGTTAAAGCCACCAAAGAACACAGCCAGGAGGACACTGGGCTGGCACAGCACCCTGTGGAGGTGTTTGCTGTCCCTGCCCAGGGCTGCAGCCATGCAGCTGCACAGGTGATGGGTCCAAACCTGCAGCAGGAGCTGTCTGCAGCAGCTGCACACCCAGGGCTGCCTCACTGAACGCTGGAAATGCAAAGATCCTGCTATTGTTGTGCTCCAGCACGTGCCCTGCCAACCCTCCTCGCTGATTTCCCGTTGAGTTTTCTTCTGAAACCTCGCTGAAGTGAGGTCTCATGCACCTTACAAAAAAAGACAAGCTCAGCAGAGCATTCCTGGGCTGGGCCTGTGGTGAGACAGTCCTGTCTGGGGGAAATTTCTGAATAGCAAAATTACTTTATAAACCTGATTTCACACTCTGCTAAACTGATGGCTCTGGCAAGGGCACTCTGAAGAGAAACAAAGCCTCAAAATAACGTTTGAAGAGGTCACTTGATAGACTCTCTTCAGAATGGAATTTCTCAGAATCCATCTGGCAGCACTTCACATCTGCGGGTTCCACAGATTTTATTCTTTTTTTAGTCAAAACAAACAGTTCCAAACACAGGGAATTTGCATAGATGAGCAGAGCCCCAGCACTCACTTCTGCTTCAGTGAAGAATGCCAAAGCAGGGACACAATGGATGGGAGTTTTTGTTCCGTCTAATGGCAAAAGCCATCCACATCAGATTAAATTAAAAAACGTTGTTGGGTTAGCAGTTCAATCATTGTTAAGAGGCATCTAAAGAACCTTTTCTGTGGTAAATATGGGGCAGTTTGTACCTTTCTCATCTCTACTGTATCAACTTTCCTTTACAAGGCCAGGTTGGATGGGGCTTGGAGCAACCAGGTCTAGGGAAAAGTGTCCCTGCCCACGGCAGGGGTTTGGAACTGGATGGTCTTTAAGGTCCCTTCCAACCCAAACTGTCCAGTGATTCTCTGGAAATCATGAAACCATGGGGGCTTGAAGTCAGCTATCCTCACTTCTTTGAGCTCAAGCCACATCTCTAAGCTGAATACAGCAAAATTAGGTGAGGAGGGAAGAGAGGATGAAAGCAGCTGTAACTTACACTGCTCAGCTCAAGGCTGTCAGATTTGGCCAGTGGAAGAGGTAGCTTTGAGCTGCAATCTCAGATTAAGGCCATGGACCCAGATCTGCTTTCCTGTTAAACTGCAAGAACAGAGCTGTAGAAGTCAGCAAACCACTTGGATGAATCCCCCAAATTCCCCCTGCTCCTCAGCACTAGAGTGGCCCAACAAACACTGTGGAAAGAGTTGATGATAAGTTCACTTTTTCTCCAGCTTTTTCTCACTGTCATGTCAAACCAAAAACAAACCTGCCAGTTTCTCTGAGCTGTGATCAAATATTCTGTAAGCTGCCTGTGTATCTCAGTAGTGAAAGTCTAAACCAAGCATCTTATGTGAAAGAACAATTTTTGTACAGTGTTTTCTATGATAATCAAGGACATTTCAGCAGGCTGGTGTTGAACAAGTGTAGTAATAATGTTTAATATTTCAAATGAGCAAATGAGACATGCAGGGTGTTAATGAAAGTCAAAGCAATGCAGTTACAGCTTCCCTGGGAGGTTTCAGAAAGCTCCTCCTAAATACAGCTGCTGGCTGAATTTAGAGGTGAAGTAAAACCATTTGGGTCATCCAGAAACATTTGAAGTGTCTTGCCTGGAAGGCCAATGTTAAATATGTGACATCAAGACTCCTCTTTCTCTCAAGGCAGATTTTTCCCCTCTCCTGTTCATGGTACCTGGATTTTGCCATGAGGCATATGTGACATCAAGACTCCTCTTTCTCTCAAGGCAGATTTTCCCCCTCTCCTGTTCCTGTACCTGGATTTTGCCATGAGGCTGGATGAGCAGGTCTTCTTCTTCCAACCTGCTCAAGCCATTTCACACACAACATACACACAAAATACTTGCTTTTCCCCACAGATTTCCTTCTGAAGAGATCAGTCTCCCTTATTCCTCTTTGTTTCAATTTATTTATTTGTCTGCCACTACCTGTTTTCTTTGTCGAAGAGGAGTCAACAGTCCATGAGCAACAAAAGTGCTTGGTCAAATATAATCTCTGCCCCCTGCTTGGTACAACCGGGTCAAGAAATCACGAGAAGGCATGACAGAACAGAGCTTGCAGTGCGGCTGAGTCAGAAGGAACTGAAGCCCCACTGACTTTCATTTTGAGCCCTTTCTTTTGCAGGGTTTCTGTACTAGGCATTAAAATCACCTCCCATCCCTCCATCAGCAGGTGTGGCTGATGGGCTGCTGGGTGGCCAGCTGGGTACAGGTTCTAAATGCCCCAAAAGTAGTCACCCATCACCAACAACTCACAGCAAATGCCCCCAGATGGGTGTTTCCTCTTTGTGCTGAGCCCAACAGTGAGTTGGACTCAATGATTCTTGTGAGTCCCTTCCAACTTGACCTGTTCTGTGACTCTGTGATGCAACACCTGTAGCAGGAGATGTCACCAGTGGTTCTGGTCTCCACCACTGTGTGACCCTCACTTGGGCCAGCCTGTGGCTCCAGCTGGGGACCCCAGCTGCTCATTAGCTGAGGGGTGACGTGGGATGGGCAAGGCCCAGAAAGCCAAACTGAGCCAGCTCTTCTACTTTGTCACCTTTCAGAGGCAAGTCCTGCTCTCCTGGTGGCATGTGGTGTGAAAGGGGACACCAGGTCACCACCAGCAAAGGCAGCACAGGGTGAATGGTCAGCTCCAGGTTCGTGCAGGTCACCATCTGGGGAAAAAGCCCTTTAGCTTGTCCCAGAGCCCTGTTATTTCTGCACTAAACACTCTGGAGCAATTTGCTGTATCATATAAGGGGCCATCAGAGGTGAAACCATATGGGGGAACAGCTCATGCTACCTCTCCTTACCTCCCCTCTTAAATTTCAAAGAGAATTTTCAGGTCTTGTTTCTGTTCCTCTGGCTTGTTAAAAGAAAATGGGTTTAGAGTGAAGACTCCCCAGTTTAGACTTTCTTATGCTCTGCATTTGAACTATGTGAGTATTGGGGGTGCAGATAGGTGTGCCAACAGTTCTGGTAGCAAAAAGTAATACAAGAAAAGGTAGAACAAGAGGACCTGCTGCCTACAACTGCTATGCATGAGGCATCAGCCTTGTGGAAATAGCAAGAAAACAAGTAAAACTGGAATTAGAATGGGAAAAATCTGAAGGTGCCAAAGAATTGGGGCAGATTGCTCTTATCTCAGCAGCCTGGAGCCCTCATGAGCTCAGAGTTTTCTCATCTCTTAGTGCAGGCCAGCAAACTGTTCTCCCTGGTAAAAAATAGGATTTGGCTGTATGGCAAAAGGAATATTTTCCATTTCTGTTCATTTTCAGCGCTCCATCTGGGCACAGCCTCTGCATTCTTGACTTTGCCAGAGACTCTGCTGCTCTTGGTGCAGTGGTACCAAAGCCAGGCACTGTGGATGCCCTAAAGCCAAAGGTGACCCCACTCCCCAGGCCACAGCCACCCCAGCCTAGGTAAGGCATCAGCTGTTCTTATTTAATTTCAAGGAGCCAGAGTGGCTCTCTTGAGCACCTCAGTTGTGTTCCTCACAATGGATATATTTCTAAAATAACCACCTGGCTCCCTGAGTTTTCACTCCTCGTTCACTGAACATCCCACAGATAGCATATCCATTCTCCAAGAACATCCCTTTCTGTTCAAAGCTTCTTTCTCCTCATCAAACTCTCTGCTTGGTGCCACCAGGAGACACGATCTCAAACCCTTGGACGTGGACACGGCATCTCTGCACTGAGAAAAGGATGAGATGCAGAACAGTTTTGCCTAAGTTGAACACATTTTGGCTTCCCAGTTAACACCACATCTGGATTTATGCCAGACTGAAGTTACAATACATGTAGACATTACTCACAAGAGGCAAGGCCAATGCTTGAAAATAACCTCAAAGTTACTGGCAGAACAAAGCCTATTTTTTCCAACAAAAATGACTTTGCTAAACACATTTGTGTTACGTGAATTTGGAGACCATGCATGAAAGTCACAGAGGCCTCTCTCAAGTTTTGACTCCACGATGAATTGCGTTCCTCCTCCTCCGTTTCAGAAAGCTCCTCCTAAATACAGCTGCTGGCTGAATTTAGAGGTGAAGTAAAACCATTTGGGTCATCCAGAAACATTTGAAGTGTCTTGCCTGGAAGGCCAATGTTAAATATGTGACATCAAGACTCCTCTTTCTCTCAAGGCAGATTTTCCCCCTCTCCTGTTCCTGTACCTGGATTTTGCCATGAGGCTGGATGAGCAGGTCTTCTTCTTCCAACCTGCTCAAGCCATTTCACACACAACATACACACAAAATACTTGCTTTTCCCCACAGATTTCCTTCTGAAGAGATCAGTCTCCCTTATTCCTCTTTGTTTCAATTTATTTATTTGTCTGCCACTACCTGTTTTCTTTGTCGAAGAGGAGTCAACAGTCCATGAGCAACAAAAGTGCTTGGTCAAATATAATCTCTGCCTCCTGCTTGGTACAACCGGGTCAAGAAATCACGAGAAGGCATGACAGAACAGAGCTTGCAGTTTGGCTGAGTCAGAAGGAACTGAAGCCCCACTGACTTTCATTTTGAGCCCTTTCTTTTGCAGGGTTTCTGTACTAGGCATTAAAATCACCTCCCATCCCTCCATCAGCAGGTGTGGCTGATGGGCTGCTGGGTGGCCAGCTGGGTACAGGTTCTAAATGCCCCAAAAGCAGTCACCCATCACCAACAACTCACAGCAAATGCCCCCAGATGGGTTTTTCCTCTTTGTGCTGAGCCCAACAGGACCTAAACCACAAGTCCAGCGAGTTGGACTTGATGATTCTTGTGGGTCCCTTCCAACTTGACCTGTTCTGTGACTCTGTGATGCAACACCTGTAGCAGGAGATGTCACCAGTGGTTCTGGTCTCCACCACTGTGTGACCCTCACTTGGGCCAGCCTGTGGCTCCAGCTGGGGACCCCAGCTGCTCATTAGCTGAGGGGTGACGTGGGATGGGCAAGGCCCAGAAAGCCAAACTGAGCCAGCTCTTCTACTTTGTCACCTTTCAGAGGCAAGTCCTGCTCTCCTGGTGGCATGTGGTGTGAAAGGGGACACCAGGTCACCACCAGCAAAGGCAGCACAGGGTGAATGGTCAGCTCCAGGTTCGTTCAGGTCACCATCTGGGGAAAAAGCCCTTTAGCTTGTCCCAGAGCCCTGTTATTTCTGCACTAAACACTCTGGAGCAATTTGCTGTATCATATAAGGGGCCATCAGAGGTGAAACCATATGGGGGAAAAGCTCATGCTACCTCTCCTTACCTCCCCTCTTAAATTTCAAAGAGAATTTTCAGGTCTTGTTTCTGTTCCTCTGGCTTGTTAAAAGAAAATGGGTTTAGAGTGAAGACTCCCCAGTTTAGACTTTCTTATGCTCTGCATTTGAACTATGTGAGTATTGGGGGTGCAGATAGGTGTGCCAACAGTTCTGGTAGCAAAAAGTAATACAAGAAAAGGTAGAACAAGAGGACCTGCTGCCTACAACTGCTATACATGAGGCATCAGCCTTGTGGAAATAGCAAGAAAACAAGTAAAACTGGAATTAGAATGGGAAAAATCTGAAGGTGCCAAAGAATTGGGGCAGATTGCTCTTATCTCAGCAGCCTGGAGCCCTCATGAGCTCAGAGTTTTCTCATCTCTTAGTGCAGGCCAGCAAACTGTTCTCCCTGGTAAAAAATAGGATTTGGCTGTATGGCAAAAGGAATATTTTCCATTTCTGTTCATTTTCAGCGCTCCATCTGGGCACAGCCTCTGCATTCTTGACTTTGCCAGAGACTCTGCTGCTCTTGGTGCAGTGGTACCAAAGCCAGGCACTGTGGATGCCCTAAAGCCAAAGGTGACCCCACTCCCCAGGCCACAGCCACCCCAGCCTAGGTAAGGCATCAGCTGTTCTTATTTAATTTCAAGGAGCCAGAGTGGCTCTCTTGAGCACCTCAGTTGTGTTCCTCACAATGGATATATTTCTAAAATAACCACCTGGCTCCCTGAGTTTTCACTCCTCGTTCACTGAACATCCCACAGATAGCATATCCATTCTCCAAGAACATCCCTTTCTGTTCAAAGCTTCTTTCTCCTCATCAAACTCTCTGCTTGGTGCCACCAGGAGACACGATCTCAAACCCTTGGACGTGGACACGGCATCTCTGCACTGAGAAAAGGATGAGATGCAGAACAGTTTTGCCTAAGTTGAACACATTTTGGCTTCCCAGTTAACACCACATCTGGATTTATGCCAGACTGAAGTTACAATACATGTAGACATTACTCACAAGAGGCAAGGCCAATGCTTGAAAATAACCTCAAAGTTACTGGCAGAACAAAGCCTATTTTTTCCAACAAAAATGACTTTGCTAAACACATTTGTGTTACGTGAATTTGGAGACCATGCATGAAAGTCACAGAGGCCTCTCTCAAGTTTTGACTCCACGATGAATTGCGTTCCTCCTCCTCCTCCTTTGGCTTCAGTACGTGGTTTCCCTTGTGACCTGGCTGGAAAATGTGTGGTTGCTGGAGATGCTGTTGGATTTCCTGGTGAAGGCCAGTCGTTTCTTCTTCTTCCTCCATGGCAGGCACAGGATGGTGAGTGTGGAGAGGAAGATCTGGCGGAAGTTTGCCGACACCAGGTTGTAGAGGATGGGGTTGATTGCTGAGCTGACGTAGAAGAGGACATTTGTCAGCATGTAGAAGTAGTGGTAGAAGTTGTAAAGGAAACTGGAAGAACAGATAAAGGACAAAAATCTGAGTGTGAAGAACTCAAAGTCACAAAGGTGAGAAAAACACGAGCTGCTCTCCAGCTAACCTTTCTAGGCTGCAAACATGAGCTGACCAGTGGTGCCAGGGCCACCACAACCCATCTACATCTCCAACTAGAACTGGTCAAACACGGATCAGATTCCTCTATGGAGATACTGCCCCACTCACCAGCAGTTAGAGACTTATTTATGCCCTGGATCCAGACAAGATAGTTACCTCATGCCTTCATTTTTCCTTGGATGTAGTCATTCTGGAACCTGAGAAGCCAGATGGAAATTTGCTTCTGTGTCATACATACACATTAGCTTGACTTTTTTGGCTGCAGTTCTGATCTACAGAGGTTGCAGAAGAGCCAGACTCCAGGAACAGATGCAGCTCTCTCCTCCCTCTGGCAGTGAGAGCAGCATCAGCTCATTCAATGTGTCCCTGGGTTGGGATTTGTCCGTAATGTGGGACAGCATTTCCTTTTCTGGGGGCAAACTGATGATAGCATGCTCCTGAAACACATCCTAACCACCACAATTTAATGTTTTCAACAAGAACTGGTTGAAAATGTTTTATTATCTTTTATGCTTTTGGATATATCTTTCCTTGGGCCAACTGAAAACAACAGCCCTGAGCTGGTAAAGCATTTATAAACACCACGGGTCTCATTTTCAGGAAGATGTTCCTCAGAATCATTTATCTTGGGGAAAATTGCAGACCTTTTCTCTTGTCTGAGCAGTGTCTAACAAAAGATAAATAGAAGAGTGCTGGACTATGTTGCCCATCCCTCCACACCCCTTCAGCACTGCCAAGGACTGCATGGCCCATCCAGTTATTACAAGCAGAGTTTCTCTGTGTAGTTGTGAAGAATTAATACTGGAAACATTTCTCTTCTTCAGGGGCAAGGCACATGTGTTTATAAATGAACATACCAAGCTGCTGCAAACTCTTGGTTAGCCACCAGATTGATAGTTCACTATCATTTTGTAAATTCAGTGTTTTCCTAAAATTACTCATGGTTTTAAAAAGAAGAAAAAAAAATATTACATGGATACAGCCACAATGCATAAATTCCCACTAACTGCAGAAAGACTTCTCTACCCCTCTTGCTCAAAGCAAATGCAGTCATCACATAATTGAACAGTGCCTTAAGTGCTTTTCATACAGGAAAGCAAAGGAGAAACAAGAGTTTGTCCCAGTGTGTGCCTAGAGCTCTGTTTTCATGACTGAAGATAGATTTTGGATTTTACTGTGGCTGGATCCATAGTCCCATTCAGTAGACTGCTATATCCTAATTTAATATATTTTGAGTCTGGAATTGATAGAATTTTAGTTTTTTATTGTTGTTCTGCTTTTTGGTATAGTAGATTTTTCTTTCCTTCCCCTTGAAAGGAACAGCCCTGGTCTCAGGGAGAGCAGGGATGTAACACCACGGAGAAGACACAAGAGAGCATCCCTTGGCATCTCAGGCTTCCTCAGTGTGTGTCCCCAGACAGCGTTAGCTCTTAATGACATATTTAAAAATAATAATTAGTTTGGTGTCTGCTTTGCTGAAGAGCCTGGCCTGGTGCCTCAGAAAGGAGCAGGGGGTGCCTCTGCACATCTGTGAGCAGCGCACGTGTGTCTGTGTAATTATCCCGGAATTCTCTGACAATCTGGGCATTTCCTAATCAGCAGCAACTGCTGGCATTTCATTTTGATCTGCTCCCAGTAAATAACCTGGCCCAGACCCAGTAATAGCACAGCTATTCCCCCACCTGTGTCATCCCCCTGTCAGAGAGGAAATGTGGCCTCGTGGAGCTAAATTGTGTGCTGACAGGAGCTGCTGCATCTTCGGGCTGGGATCAATATCTCTGGCACAGAGACTGAAATCCACTCTGGATGTACCAACCCCCCTGTCCAAATGTCATTTCATCAAGGGCTGCCAGACTGATGTCTGTGGTTGCAGCCTCAGGAGGAGAGGGAGGAGAAGGAGAGGGAGGAGGAGGAGGGGCTGATGATGCCTTTTGGTTCAAAATAATGCTTCCTGAGGGATTTAGGTAAAACAAAAACTCTTAATTTTCCTGGCAAACAGTGATACATCCAAAATAAAAAACAAACCAAAGCAGCAATTAGGTTTTGAGTCTTGAATGCCCCACTGGAGAACACCTTTGTTCCCAGATCCCCACCTCCACCTCCACACCTGGAGTGCCCTGGCATCCCCAGCCCAGCCTGAGCCCCCAGCCTGTCCTGGCACAGGTGCCTGTGTCCCCACATTGTGACTCACTCTGTCCAGTGGCTGGAGGGGACATAGCAGAACATGAGGCGCCGGATGTGGTAAGGGAGCCAGCAGACCACGAAGGCAATCACCACAGCACCTGCAAGGCAGGAAAAAAGCCTTAACCTCGTGAGCAACTCTCCATCAGGCTGAGGAAGGGACCTGTCTGCTTGGGTTTAATTGCTGTAACTGTTTTCCTGCAGCCCCACTTGTTGTTGTATTGCTGTAGTGCAAAGAATTAATAACCCTGAGGGACAAGCAGCCTGCAAATGTCTGTAAAACAAGCAGAACAGAAGTAATAGAGAACAGCACTAAGCACTGGGGCAGGGACATGAGGAGCAGCAGGAGGTAAGATGAAGCACTGGCCATGACTAGTTCCTGGCTCAAAGAAAACTCTGTTTGCATCTGTGTTTCACGCCCTTGTGGCACTGGGTATTTTGTCCATGTATTCACAGAGACAGCTGGAGTATGTTTTCCATCCAGGTAGAAAGAGAGCCAGGGCCACTCTAATCCCATTAGTTTGTTCCATGGAGCCACTGGCCACGGGCCCCACAGTGCTGAGCACCATTAAACTGCTCTTTCTAGTGGCAGGGCTCATCCTTTTGTTCCACATTTGTGCCATACCTGAGATTACAACGTGTTTGGCTCTGGACTTTGTCATAATAAAAATGATCAATTAAAGGGTAAGCAGAGAAAGACACTGCTGCTTTTTTCCTTTCCAGATTCTGAGGGATGTCAGACAATGGAAAATAAAATGCAACAACTCTGAGGCATAAAAGTGCTGTTGATAGAGTGCATTTGTCAGTCTGGATTAAAAAGTAGATCTATCAGGCAATCAAGAGAAAGATTTGTTTCCTTTTGTAATATACGTTTTAACTTCTGTGTGGAACAGCAGGATTCTAGCAGAATCCTAGCAGGAAATAAAGAAATCTCAGTTAAAACATAACACAATAAAAGGCAAGAAGAAAATAAAGACTAAATAAAATAATTAAGTTAATTTTTGGTCCCAAATTTGCTCTACAGACAACAAGGGACGCATCACTCTTGTCCTTTATGTGACCTGTAAGGGGCTGGGAAGCAGCAAAGCTCTGCTCCGGAGTGAGGTACCACAAGTGCAATGTGGATTTGGCACGTGGAGCCAAAGGCTGGGGGGTTTTCTGCCCTGGGATTGAAAATATTTATGTGGATATGTCCCAAACCCAGACACTGTCATCTCTCAGGGACCATGTTGTAGCTCAGGGAGATGTGTTTCCATTGGATAGTGCAGACCAGGAGGAATAAATCTAGCTGTGGCTGCATCTCCCCATCACTGATGCTTAGCTAGGAGGCACAGGAGAGCAGAAATTAGAAAATCCCTGGTGTCCAGCTCCCTGCTCACACCCTACTCCAACTCCATGAGCTCCCTCTCATTAAACACATAGCTAACAGTGGAGAAGGTTCTATTCCATGATGCATGACAGCATCTTCCAGGAATGCTGCAAAAGACATTTATCCAATAAAGATTTAAACAACTGAAGGGAGATGTTTTGGAAAGAAGGCTAGAGGGTCTGTTTTTATTCTCTTGTCCAAGTGAATTCATTTTTTCAAACTGTTTTTTGGCCGCTCTCTGGCCACAGTGATCACAGATGTAACTCATCACCAGACAGCCTGCAGCCCTTCAGATGCCATCAAGTGAATTAATTTGACCTGTGTCTGATCCTTCCCTGAAGAGCTTTGATGGGACTTTGGCAGGAGAGCCCCTGCATGACATGTGGCACAGGAGAGGTGGGGACATCCCCTGGGAGTTCAGTGGGAGCGTGGCTGCCTGCCTTGCTCCTTCACATTTCTGAGCACCCGCTTTTGGCCACATCCAGAAATCCATTTCTCTGCTGGATGGGCTTTTGGTTTGCCCTGGATGGAGCAGTCCCCCCCATGATTCTCCAGGAGATCCCTCCCAGGGGCTGCAGGAGAAGCAAAACTCTCCAGCCTCTCCTCCTGCATCCATCAGCCTCGGGCCAACAGAGCGAGCCAAAATCACAGCTCCAGCCCATCTGCTCTCCCAGCGCCTGCACAGGATTAGCTGCATTTTCAGGCTGCAGAAGCAGCTTCCCAAATGGCTCCAAACACAGGTTCATTCAGGCACAACTTCATTTTTGCAGGAACCTCCACACGCTGGCACTTCTGAGCTGCTCACCCCTGTGTGCAGCTCTTTAGGAACGGCAGGATCCGGATTCTTTCGACAGCCAATTATAAGAATCTCACACATCTGCTTGTTAAATTTACCAACATGTTAAATGAAAGTGGTTTTCTCCTGGTAAATGATCTCTGCTTCTGCTGCTTAGGCAATGCTGTGCCAAATAATATGGATCTATAGTAACAAAAACACATATTGAGAGAAGTATCTGCTTAACATCAGCAATTAAGTAATCTGTGATAATTCTGTAATATCACATGCAATCACTCCGCAATTAAATCTCTATTAAAGATGTGAAGTGCACTGGAGACACTTCTGGTCTGATTTGGAAGTCCCAGCTGGGTGACACACTGTGCAGTTCTGTGCTGCACAGATTAGGAGATCCCGACCCAAATTTGTCACCCTTAATCCGTATGTTTTCATTTTATCATACAAGGGATCAAGCAGATTTAGGGCGGCAATCCTGCCCTCATGGGTCCTTTCCCCTGGGAGGAATATGAAACACGAGACTGTGTTAACTTTCACCTAATACAGAAGGAAAATTCCCTTTTCTCCCAGATACCTGGCTCCTTTTCCTGCTGTTTTGCTCTGCCTGTCAAAATGGTTGATCTGTAAAACAAATCCTGGGCAAAACCGTCTGCCAAAATGATATTTTATTGTTGTTATGAGCTCCTAGGATGTGTTCTTCATCATCAAAAGCTTGACATGTGGGTTCCTTTGGTGGAGCAAGAAGGAGCAGCTCAGTCTGCTGGAGCTGAGCACTGCAGGGGAAGGGTTTGATTCAATATGTGATGGTGTCACTGTCCAGGATGGTCTTTGTGAGGTTGGAGACATCCTGCCTTTCTTTTTTGAACTAAAAATAAACCAGACACATCCCTCACTTCTAATTAATTCAATAAGGTTCTAATAGGAGCAGAACTGCTCTGTGAGCTTCTGATATTTCCCATAATTGAGCAAATGAGGTGCCAAACCTCAAGGCTGGGGAGTGGATGTGGGAGCCCAGCAAGATGACCCCAGTGTGCCAGGGGTGGCAGAGAATGATCCTCCCACCAAAGTATGCCCTCATTTCCCTTCTAAACCAAACTCCCAATTTAAATGTGCATTAAACCATGAATTATTACATCCTGTGTTTTTCTATTTTGTCTTATAATGGCTCTTTTCTCTGTCTGTTTGAACTGCATGCCAAGGAAGAAGGGGAGAGGAAGGAGGAGTGGCAGAGGACGAGCCCTGGTTTGTTTTTCCTTCAGGAAGTCCTGCAGAGAGAACCATCAATTCTGACTGACATCTTGTTCATTGTGAGGAGATTTAAACTGTGCCAGTCTCTACTCTCAGACTAAACTGGACGTGGCAGCAATCCTGGAGGTTAAATTCTGTTAGATCACGCTGGGTGTTTTATTTTGCCTTGTGTGTATCCTGGGCTGAGGCTGGGACCTGCCCAGGAGCTCCTCTGGGTTAGCACATGCACGGGGCAGGGCACCCTGAGCAGGGAGCCCATGCCATGGTTTGGCTGAGCTCAGGAGAGGGCTCAGGAGGGGTTTCCAGCCCCCATGCCTTGGTGGGGCCATGTGAGGCTGGGAGTGACTCAGAGCCCTGGACAGCGATGGGTGAGGAGCCACAGCCGTGACTCGCCCGGGAACGGTGCGCACAGAGCTGGGCTGGTGCTCTCCTCCTCCTCCTCCTCCTCCTCGCTTCATCTCCTGCAGCTCCTCTGGGATGCTGAGTCACAGCCCTGCAGCCCCGGGGTGGCCCTCGGCGAGGGTATCCCTCTGTCCTGTCCTCCTTTCTCCAGGAGAGGCAGAAAAGGGTTGCTGCTCCTTCTTCCACACCCCTGCTGCTGCTACGGCCTCCAGAGAGGCTCGGATCCATCTTCCCTTGATAGTTTTGTCCAGACTACTTCAGCCAATTTATTTCTTTTTCTCTGCATTGCAAGGGGATCTGAGCCACATACAGATGTGGAGCAGCAGAGTGGAATTCCTGAGCAAAGGCAGGAGCTGTTTGGGGAGGTATTGGTCCCCCTGAACAACAGCTCTCAGCTTTTTCTGTGTTTCAGACTCATCCCCAACGCTGCCCAAGGCGTGCACACCCACCAGCTAATGAGGTGTACAAAAGGTCATCAGGCTTGTCAGCGTGGTTTTTGGAGAAACAATCCTTGTATATCCCAGTCTCCTGGGTTTTATATGTTTATTTAGTTGATGCCATTACAGGAGAAGCTCTCCCAAAGTGCTGTTTGATCTGGGAGCTGGTGAAAGCTGGGCCAATGCAGGCACAGCTGGCACTGCCTTGTTAAACCTCGAGGTGCTGTTTATATTAACATGATGTTCTACCTGACAGGCTCTTGGCAATATTTATATCAGCAGGCCCCAAAGCAGGGATTGCAGAAGCCCAGTAAAATTAAAACTACTTATGCTGGTATTTGGGTCATAAGGCTGTGGAATAAAGGATTTCCATAAAAGTCAGTAACAATCAGCAGGGTTTGGGGACCACCAGCATGAACCAGGAATACTCAGAAGAGCAAAGAAGAAACTGGGAGTAACAGTGAGCTTGAGTAGTCCTCAGCTCCTTTAAACACCACTGAAAACAGAACATTTGCTGGGTATAATCCCCTGATTCTCCTGAATGTATGATCAAAAAAAAAAATCCTAAATTCTTCTTTATTAGTGAAAGTGAGACAGCACAGTGAATGGAAAAACCTTTTGGCATTCAAAATCAACATATTTCACCCAGACTGTATTCTCCAGTCCTGATTTTTAATGGCTTCAGAAGACAGATTTGAAAATAGATGTGAATTTTTGCCCCAGCTCACGCCAGTGGTTAAATCATCCCCTGGCACCAGTTCCATCCATAAGGAGCAAGGCAGAAAATACAGATTAAAGCTGGCCCAAGAACAGCACAGCAAGCACAGCACTGCTGTCCCAGTGCATACTGGGGTCTCTTCCCAAGTTCCCTTCTAAGGTAATCATTCTTTTGGAAATTACAGAAGAGGTTGCTTAATTCCATTTAAACTTCATTCATGCCATTTCCCCTGGGGATGTCTGGAAGAGAAGGAAGAAGAAAGGAAGAGAATTTCCCCTTTGAAAGGTAGAGAAGGGATCCCATTTAATCCTCACCACGTTCTTTTTCTATTTGGTGAGATCAGGTGTAAGCTGAACTGGCTTCCTCTGCAGCCCTTTCTTCTTTCCCCTCCAGTTTTGAGTTTCACATATCCTTTGTTCCTCCCAGAACAGTTCCTGCTCATCAAAGGGACCCTGGAGCTTTTTTCACTGCGTGCTTCTACACTGACTAAAGCCTGGCCAGACTTCATGTTCAGAATCACATTAGTTAACTTTTTAAACACTCACATTGTCACAGCTTAACACCTGGAAAATCTGCTTTCAGTGCATGGCCAGTGCTGGAGTTTTCTGTAGAGATGCAGCCACAAGAACCTGCAATTCCTGCAGGAATGCTGTGCCAGGCCCAACAAAGGGACACAGCTTGGGAGAGGGGAAAAAAAGAGACTCCCTGCCCCAAGAGGTGCAGCCACCCCTGGTTTTTGCTCCTTGGAGGGTGTTTATAGAGCACTCTGATGCTGCTTGTTTTATCTCACTTGGCAGGCTGCAAAGTAAACCTACAACTACAAACATCTCTGGGAAATATATACAACAGTTAAATAGGTAATTTATCCTCCCAAATTTCAGTGTGACACTTCAGCTGTTAAAATCAGCTTCCACTCAAGCTTAATGCCACAGGGGTTTTGCTGAACTCCACTTGGAGTTGCTCAGACTTTTTATTAGAGATACAAACTGCCATGAATTTTGTTCCTTTCTTGAAAAGAAATGATTCATGAACAAATAAATCTGCTTTCCTTAGAATATAGGAATTATGAAATACAACTGTTTAAGGCGTTTTAGACTGGTGCTCTTCTGTGTATTGTGCTGCAAAGTATGAGCTATTCCTGTCTGTAGGCTGGTTAAACTAAATCTCATGGCAATATTCTCCTCCTGAAATGAATAACTCAGACTAGGAGCATTGGTGAGAAGAAATGAATGGACTCTTCAAAGTATCTGTTAAGAAAGGGAATTATTAATGCACAAATTAATGAAATACATGGATACATAATTAATTCTTGGCCTTTGTCTTGTATTACCTGACGAAATGCAGAGGCTGCAAAATAATAATTTAAAAATTCACAGACGTTCAGTAAAAAATGCATCTTGACTTCATCTGCTAAAGAAGCATTTTACTGAAGCATCACCCAGTCACCTGTGGGAGACTGAAGGATATTCTTTTAATTGGCTAAACCTTTAAGTGCTTTATAATTGCTTTCACTAAGCAGCTTCAGTGACACACAGCAAATGCTACCTGGAACTGATTACATTTTAATAGGCTTAGCCAACATCCCCTTGCAAAGCCTCCCCTTGATGTCCATCAGTTTGTCTCAGTGTCGTTATCAGAGCTCAGTTGTGCCATTCAGTAACTCCTGCCTTCCTTCCATCCACCTGGGAATGATCTGGAGGAGAAGGGGCTGCAGCAGGGGTGTTGGTGGGGGTGTCAGTCCATGCCACAAAACTGCCCCTTTCCAGAAGACATTTTGGCTGAACAGAGCTTTCATCCTGAGCCAAGCTCAAATGCACCCTGATTTCTGAGCAGCAGAGAGAACTGGGGTTGTTCAGCCTGGAGAAGAGAAGGCTGCAGGAAGAACTTGCTGCAGCCCTCCAGTGCCTGAAGGAGCTCCAAGCAGGCTGGAGAGGGACTGGGGACAAGACCTGGAGTTACAGTACAGGGGAATGGCTTTAAAGTGAAAGAAGGAAGGGTTATCAAGACTGGATATCAAGAAGAAATTCCTCCCTGTGAGGATGCTGAGGCCCTGGCACAGGGTGCCCAGAGAAGCTGTGGCTGTCCCATCCCGGGCAGTGCCCAAGGCCAGGCTGGACAGGGTTTGGAGCAGCCTGGGACAGTGGGAGGTGTCCCTGCCCATGGCAGGGGGGGAATGAGATGAGCTTTAAGGTCCCTTCCAACCCAAACCATTCCATGATTCTATGATTGTTCTGGTGTGTGTGTGTGCATGTGAGTATTTAAGGATTATTTAGAATATTATCAAGTGATTGGCACATCAGAAAACGTTCATACTTCTGTAAAGCATCACACAGCTTTGGGAGCCTCAGCACTCCAGGGCTCCAACATGGCCAAGGAAGAGCAACACAAACTGGAGGTGGTTTAATGGAAGGAACTGCATGGGTGAAGGAGGGTGTGGAATCTCTTGGTGGAAGGTATTTTTAACAGCAGAACTGGCTGCCCTGATATCCTCAGTAAAAAGGCTGGGAAGCTGCAAAGTGCCTGGAGCCCTCTGAATCTGAATCCTCACACCTGGTGAACTCTGAGGGAATTACAATCAGGAATCTCATGCTTCCTGACTTAATGAGTTGGCTCCCGGGCAGCAGGCCTGACACATTCCCTGATCCTGATCACCCTCATTATTTTGTACATGACCACAGTCAGACAGAGCCAAGAAAACACACAAATGCTACCAGAAGGGAGGAAAACACTGTTGTGGATGTTTTGAATGAGGCTGTTAGCCTGGCCACTTTTAGCTCTTATTTCAATGTAAACAAATACTTAATCTCAGTACATTTGGAGCAAGGAAGTTTTTTGCTGCTCTGATTTTATCCAACAGCTCTGCACAAACACAAAAGATTGTTTTCTAAGCACAACTTTTACAAGCTCTGAAACATTTCACCCTTGGACCTAAATCAGCTTTCTCTGTACCTCGGGCCAAAGTTCACTTTTGGAAATGGAAAATACTTTCACCCCCACGAAGCTCTGATACTCTGCCAGCAGTTTTAAAAGGGGGGACAAGTGTCATTTTTCTTTTCCCACCCTCTTCCACAAATGAGCCCAGACTCTGTTCATGATTTTGGTTGTTGTGGATGCCAGGATAAGTAATGTGAATCCTTGTGTATTCTTTGCTACTTCTCAGACAGCTCAGAGACTTGGTTTATTAAAATGCAAATCATGAGGAACAGGTGACAAAAGTGTGAATCAAACACCCCTGTAATAAAAAAAAAAATCAGTTTTTTTTATCTGAAAAACTGAAATGCACAGGATTTCACTCCCATTTGCTAGATAAAGAGAGCATTTCTGCATGGTGGAGTGAATCACAGACAAAAGTGAGGGAGGATTTTTTTATTTGCTGGATCTTCCTCAGCACAGAAATGCAACAAACAGCTGCCCTCTCATTGCCTTCCCAGCAGGGAGAGGAGCTCAGTCCTGCTGCTGGGGTGGCCCTGAGGAGATGCCTGGAATATCTGGGTATCCCTGCATGGGGGAGCCCCATGGTGCCACATCTGAACCACTTTTGAACCACCTCAGGCTCCAGACTGAAACCCCTCACTTTTGCCAAATATTCTCAGCCTTTGCAGTACACATCAAACCCAAAATTTGCCTGGAGAAGAAAAAGAGGAAGCAGAAGAAGATGAAAAAGAAAATTATGCTTATTGTTCAGAAAGTGAAGGGTTGTTTTTCAGCACCTCAGAGGAGATGTGGACCTGTGGGTGAGGGGTGCACTTCCTCCAGTGCTGAGGAATGCCAGATGTAAATTTAGGTTTCTCTGCTATTATTCATGAAGAGCTCTCTCTTCTTGATGATCAAAGAGGATACAGTACTGAAAGGAGAGAGAGAGAGGTGTGTGAGGTGGTGTAGCAGGAGTGAGAAAAGGCAGCTTCTCACTTCGTGGCAGCAGGCAGAAGTGTTAACAACCAGAAAGGGATAGCAAGGAGCAGAGCCCTGGTAGGCTCCGTGGGGAAGCAAGGCTCCCTCCTCACCCACCCCTGGTAACAGTTCACTGGGCTGCAGAGACACTAAACAAACACAGTCCAACAAGGTAATTGTGGGGAATTCAATGTCCCCTGTGTTTTTCTTTCCTTTTTCTCAGTAGGCATTTCCCAGTTGGAAGCTGGGATGCACACGTGGCTCACCTATGGCACGGGCAAGGAGTACTTCATGGGATGCATTCCTTGTGAAAAACAGCTGGAAAAATGTCATGGAGGCTCTTGGTGCCTTCTCTGGGGATTTCTCTCATTGGAAACCTGATCTGAGCCAAAGCACTTCAAATGCTCCAAGATGCCCCATCCCTGGAAGTGTCCAAGGCCAGGTTGGACAGGGCTTGGAGCAGCCTGGGACAGTGAAAGGTGTTTCTGCCCAGGGCAAGGCTTTGGGACTAGGTGAACTTTAAGGTCCCTGACAACCCAAACCCTTCTGAGAACACCAGAACATCAGAAAGCTTTCTGCTAACAAATTTTCCCTATCTCATGTTTAAAACCACTATAGGCACCCTTTGTTAGCTATTTTGGGTACTATTTTTGAGCAGCTTTTGCTTTATCCTTTCTAAGGTTCAGCTACCAGATTCTTTGGTCTTTCCCTCAGCTTATTTAATCAAGACATGCACTACTCTGCAGTACAGCTCAATTCCTGAGTGCAGGATCTTTTTTTAAAGCTCTGAACCAGAGCTCTGCAGAAAAAAGGGAAGTAATGAAACAACACAAGCAAGGCTTAAATTGCTGTCAACTAAATCATTAAAATGCTGGGTTGGCTTTGCTTTTCCAGAGTGAGCAGGTCTGCTCGTTAGCTTTGCAAACCAACAAGCAGAGACAAAAGGAGAGGGCGTTTTGGGCGAAAGTGTTTTCCAGTTTCCACCTGTTACCCTTCAAGTCATTTATTCAGGCGCGGAGGGAAGGCGATACTCACGCAGGACCCTGACGCCGTGTTTCAGGGCTTGCACTCTGCTGGGCTCCATGGACATGCTGAGCATGGTCTGCTGCCCACCAATGGTGCACACCTGGTTCTCCTGGGCCGCCTGCTTGAACATCACCAGCAGCTGGTTGGCGATGATGGTGTTGAGCACAGAAATGACGACCATGGGGAACACGAAGGAGATGAAGGTGTTGACCTGCAGGGGAGAGATGGGGCACAGTCAGGGATAGGAGCAGAGGAGCAGGAAGTTGGGGTTTTATTTCTCAAAGTAAAAGGGGAAGAGCCTGCAGCGGAAAGATTTCCATCCTCTTACTCAGCTGGTTTTGAAGGATTGTTGTACAGAGGGAGAACTCAAACGCTGCTGACGCAGGTTCATTCATGTCGGCCAACACCCAAAAAAGGCAAAATCATTCATAACTAATGACGTTCTTTTCCCCTTTTCAGTGCAGCTCATTGCCAGAAATGTCTCAACTGAAACATGCCATTGATCTTTTCATCTCACAACCAGCAGGATTCTGCTTAGCTCTCACCATGCATAGCGTGACTTCTAAATAACAGTGTGTTATTGTCTTTTTCCTCCATTATGAGCCCTCCTTGGGATCTTTTTAACTATCTTTTTTGTCTTGTGTTCTTTCCTTGCGGATTTAATGACAGCGTTTTGTTACCTCATAACAATGTTAAATAAACCTTGTGCCTTAAAGGATTAAAATTGATCGGAATAAACAAGTGGAAATCGTAATGTTTTTAGTACAAATTATTTGATTACTACAGTTTTGATAAAATTAAATGGAGGATCAAATTAAGCAGTGATTGAATCAAGTAGAAGTCACAGTTCATGTTAAATGGAAGGCTTTGGGGCTGTTTAGAAAGCTCAGTTGAACTGAGCTTGGTAAAGGACAGCTCAGAGAAACAGAGGCACGTGTAGGGTTTGCCTGCACATCTGCCATGGTGGGATGGGGAGCTGCTCTGCTGAGCCCAAGAGCTCATCCTCTCTGCTGGATGGCACAGGAGGAGACTCAGCACATCACTCAGCTGGGTGTGGAATAAATGAAAAGCCCTTCAAGATTTTAGAATTTCAAAATATTGACAAGAATTAAACCCTGTCGCAAATCGCTGTGAAAGCAATTGCATTAGAAGTGATAAAATGACAAAAAGATGAAACTCTGAAACTCAAGAGGGAATTTGCTCAGTGGGAGGGCTCCAAGACAGGCTGACTTCTTACCCAGACAGGGACTTATCTTTCACCTCAGTGATGCAGGACACAGAACAGCCCTGCACTCCAAGCCAATGCCAGGTCCCTCTGCAGGTTGCAAAACCTCATCTAGAGAGAGGTGGTCCATCTGCTGGGATGGAGATATCCCCTCTCCACCCACCCACCCCTGCTGGACCATCACCATGGACAGGGTTCTCTGTACTCCCTGTGTCTGGTGCAGCTTTGTGGGCTCTGTGCCCTGGAGGGATTCAGAAATGCTGGAGGTGAATGGGAATCACCCAACCACACCCCCAGGTGCTGCAGGATATCTCTAAGAGAAGTGAGCAGCACACAAGCACATGAGAGCAGAGGCACATCAGAAACATTCCCTTTGTCCATAGCTCTGAAGCAGGAACTCCTCTCTTGGTGAATGAAGACAGGCTCTGTGGTTGTTGCCCAGGTTTTCTTTGGATAGTTCAAGTCTCTGTACAACTTTGTGCTCCAGAGCTCAACGTGCCAAGCAAAAGCATCAACTAGGTTTTGTCTCTCTTCTACATGGTGAGAACATCCTCTCCCATTTGTGCTGGTAATAATAACAGAGCTCCTCAGGGGCTGAGTGGATTCCTAGATACACCCCACCACTACAAGCTGCTAATGGCCTCTTTTATTAAGTATAAAGCAGTTTTCTAGGCTTCTAAAAGATCTCACAGCCTCCTGTACATAAAGAAGAGTTATCTTTTGGAGCTGTCTCCACAGGCTAAGACAGATCATTAAGCAGTAAGGACCAACTATTTAACCCTTGCAATGCAGCCAGGCTGAGCTGGAGCACATGGGGGAAATTATTGCCTAGATTTACCAGGTCAGACTAAGACAGGAACCCTGCAGCTCTTCACTCCAATTTCTGGGCTTTAGCTGCAGAATGCCCTTCCTCTTCCCCACTGCTGAACAACGTCTGCACATCAGCAAAATGCACCACTTAACTCTGGGAATGTTTCACTCTGTCACCTGTGATTCAGGATTTATTGGTTTTCATTCTAAAATTTTGCCCTAGCTGTAAATCGTACTTGCTTGATATAATTTTGCAGAATTCCAAAAGTCTTTTCCAAGCTGTTTTGAAAGCTTTGATTCATTCCATAGTTGCACTGTGAAGTCTTTTAAAGAGCTTATGAAATTGGCTAGAATAGCATTGACTTTCCCTTTTAGGAATTGTTATGGTTAAAGTGGGAATATTGCATAGTTTCCATAAAAGGCTAGATTTAAAGATTTTTCCCCTGCCTTGATTTGTAGCAAAACTCTCATATATTAAAAAAAAAAATCAATATTTTCCCCAGTAGCAGAATGTTTTAATTTGCTGAAAGAATTATGAATAATTTGCAAACACAGAGCCCCAAAGTACATAAGGTCTAGAAAAGCCAATTTTCCTAAGAAAACTCTTTCTATTCCCAGCTTTTCTGTTGAGCTGCTTGCTGGGAGCCCAGCACACTGTGCACATCAGTGCAGCAACACTTCATTTTCAGGTGACTTTGCACGCTGCTGGAGCTGGTGCCTCCAACAACTTCTCAAAGTCAGTGGAAAATTTCCCATTTGCTCAGGAGGAGGTGGTCTGGGATCCCAGGATTACATAGACAAAAGTTCAGGAGCAGGAAGATTGTGGAGGTGTTTAATGGGATTTTCTACAGTGTCTCCAACATCAGTGGGCTAAAGTGGCTACAGCTCTCAGTGAACACCCATGGGAGCCCTTGGAGCTTTACAGATATTCACAGACTACTCTGGCCCTGGGAAGGAGGGTTTAGAGAGTGTGCAGGCTCATTTTTGACCTGAAAGTCTGAGATTTATGTTGGCTCACCATGGAAAGCACAGTCTGTGTGATGCTGGATCTACACTAATCCTGTGTTCTGTTATTTGGGTGCACAAGCACGGGGGTCTGCCCTCATCTCTGCTCCCACCAAGCGTGGTTCAGTCTGATTCTCCTCTCCTTCAAAACTGATGGGATTGCACCAAAGTGAGCCCACCAGAGCCCAGCACCACAATGGGCAGAGTGAGCTCAGTGCAGGAGCCCAAAGCTGTGCAGGGACAGGCTCAGCCCTGACTGCCCTCTAGGCTAAAAACCCACACAAACAGAACACCAGCAACCCCAGGACTGAGTGCTAAATCCTCATTAAAAAATAAATCCAATATTGCAATGTTTGCCAGTGGACAGAATGGAACACATGGAACACTGACCCAGTTCCATGCTGCTGTCCCAGCTGGAATCAGTGAAACTCCAAATGCTGCTCAAGCACCAGGCTGGCAGCATCTGTGGGATGGGATTCATCCTCAGGACCAAATCATGTTTTGTCTGGTACAGAACAAACCTTCCCTTCCAGCACTGCCTGAGCAGTGACAGCCAGAGACCCAAGTCACTCCTCTCTGGCTGTGCTGAGCAGGACAATGACAGCACAGGTGTCACCTCTGCTGGAACCCTGAACCCCCAGAGGCACAGCTGAGGTATCTCATCACCTGATGGATGCCAGGATGAGGCAGAGACACCTCTGTGACTCCCCACACCTTCATTGTCCCCGGCGTGGTGACAATGACCTTCCCAGCTCCATCAAGGCCAGCAGCCCCTGGGGTCCTGCCCTGCCCCAGCACTGAGCCTTCCTGGCTCTCTGATGATAATCTTCATCCCACTCGTCTCTTGGCTATCTCCTGCCAAAGGTGATTTTAATATGAAATAGGAATTATGGCCGTTGTGCAGGGTTTTGCAGGACACAGGAGGGAGCAAAGCTGAGGATGGGGCCTCATATGCTCATGAGAAAATACATGGAAATTTGTGGGATTTAAATCTAACTTCTAGAAGTGAAAATGATGCAGTTATCAGCCTCACAGTTAGCTCAATAAAAATCCAGCTTTGTGTGAGACAGAGAATTCAGCCTTGTGAGTTTTGCTTCTTCCTTCCAAACAAGTGTGAGAGAGACATGGGGGAAGGGACAGCAAAACCAAGGGACAGGAAAGCAGAACCCAGTTCTGAAGTTTGTGACTCTTCCTAAATCTTTTGCACGGAAAACTGCTCCCCGGGCTCTGCTGAGCTTCCTGCTGACGTGGTTCACTTTGGCCAAGTCGTGCCTCAAATTATCTGACTGTGTGGTTTCCCTGGGTTACCAGCAGCAGCAGCCAGCAGCTCCCTCGCAGCTGTGATGGAGAAGATGAGCACAGAACTCCACAAGGAACTCCCCAGAGGGCTCCAACAAAGTCTGTAAATCAGAGGGTTTGCAAAGATTTATTCTTTTTTGCTCCAAGGTGACTGTTGGAGGAACACAGGTTCAAAGGTCACTTTGGAAAAAGATGGGGTGTGGATCCCTACTACAAGCCAAGATCTTTTTTTTTGTTAGATACATCTGAAGGCAAAGAGGGTAACATTATGAGTATTACACCTGTTTATGGGTCATCTTTTTTCCCAGCAAAACTCCATCACCTGAGCCATTCAGTGCACTGAATGTTCCCATGGTCCATCAGCACAAGATTTTGGACAGGCACAGAAAAAATGAGTGAAGTGTTGGAGAATTGGTTAAAAGCAAACACATTAGGCTAAAGCCTCTTCTGCAGTAGCAAAATCAACACTGTAAGTGTTTATGATAAGAAGAGCCAAGAATCAGAACTACTCACAACATTTTAATTGAAAGAGTTTTGATGAGAAAATGGAAAATGTTCCAATACTGAGAAAAATAAAAGATTTTTGAACACAGGTCTTGTGTTTTCCCTCATGCCTTTTTCCCATATAAGTAAATAAAATTCCCCAAAGCCAGGGGAGCATGAAATGCTGGTCACAGCAGCAGCACAGTGTGGTGCATCCCATGGAGCAGCAGCTGGGGTGCTCTGCCAGCAGGAGCAAGGCCCCTGGAGTGGACAAGGGGGCCAGCTGAGATTAAGGGATAATTTTAACCCTGGGTTATGGCAGGGATTTTGTGTCAGAGATCAGAGATGTTCCCTTGTAGCCTGATAAATGAGGTGACAGCACAGTCAGA